GAACAGGAACCGCAGGAGGGGTAAATGTTAAAGCACGAGAGAGGCGAGAGGAAGGATGTTGCAAGGACCGCACAAGATAGCGATGACAGTAGCGATCTCGGCGGTCCTGGAGAGATAAGAAGCCAGTGTCAACATACAAGCTGAGGACGGGAGTCGAACGAAAGGCACCAGAACTGAGGCGCAACCCAGTATGGTGCAAAGCATCAAGACGGCAAAGGAGAAGCAGACAAGTAAGCAAGGCAACCATAATCGAGCTTAGACAGGACGAGAGAGGAATGTAAAGTTAGGAGTGCGCGCCTATCCGTTCCCCAAGTAGTATGGGACAAGACCCGAAGGAGGGTAAGGGCCTTAGAGCACTCAACACGGAGGTAAGAGATATGGGGAGACCAAGACAAACGAGTGTCAAGGAATAACCCCAAAAACTTCGTGGAATCTTTGTACTCAAGGGGATGACCATAAAGTGACAAAGAGGGACGAAGAACGACCAATTTCCGAGTAAAAGCCATGGCACAAGTCTTAGTAGTAGAGAACTTGAAGCCATGATCGGTGGCCCAAGACGACACGGCAACAATCGCAAGTTAAAGCCGGCATTGAAGGAGAGGGGAATCATTACCCTGACAGCAAAGGGTAAGATCATCGACATAGAGAGCGGAGAAGACACCTGAAGGAAGAGAGGAAAGAAGACCATTGAGGGCAACCAGAAAAAGAGTAGTGCTCAGAACCCTACCCTGGGGCACACCTTCGTATTGCTGAAAAGAGGCAGAGAGAGTGGTACCAAGGCGCACCCGAAAGGAATGAGAGAGGAAGCTGCGGAGAAAGAGAGGGAGACGACCACGAAGGCCAAAAGAATGAAGCTGGGATAGAATATGATACTGCCAAGTGGTGTCGTAAGCCTTTTCCATGTCAAAAAGGACAGCAACAACGGAGGTCTTCGCAGCAAAAGCAGTACGAATATAGACCTCCAAGTTCACCAGGACATCTGTTGTGCTGCGGCACTTGCGGAAGCCAAATTGAGAAGGGGAGAGGAGGTGGTGGTGTTCCAGGAACCCCATCAGACGAACGTTAACCATACGTTCAAAGAGTTTGCAGACACAACTTGTGAGAGCAATAGGGCGAAAGTCCTTAGGGGATGTTCCCAGAGACCCTGGTTTGCGAACAGGGAGGACAACGGCATCGAGCCAGTCCTCAGGGACTGACGACGACTCCCAGATCCGATTATACAGACTCAGTAAATACTGAGACGTGCACGGAGGGAGATGGCAAAGCATCTCATAATGAATGCCATCGGAGCCCGCCTCCGTAGAACTGCAGAGGGCCAGGGCAGAACGAAGTTCAGAGAGAGAGAAGGGATCGTTATAGGGAAGTCGAAGACGAGTGCAGAAATCTAAACGACAAGACTCAAGGACAGGTTTACAAAGAAGGAAAGATTGGGGAAGATGAAGACCAGAGCTAACAGAAGAAAAGTGGGAACCCAGTTCAGTAGCAAACTGCAACGGGTCCGCCACAAGAGTACCACGGAGGTGAAGGACCGGTGAAACATCGGGAACGAACTTACCCGCTATCTTGCGGATACGCTTCCAGATCTGTGGCAGAGGAGTTTCGGACGTAATGGTGGAGACATAAGATACCCAACATTCACGTTTAGCCATAAGGATGGCCCTATGGGTCATTGAAGAAAAGAATCGGCCGTCTCCCGACGGCGGTGCCTCTTCCAGGCTGCACGCTTACAGCGGACAGCCCAAGCACAGTCTGCATTCCACCAGGGAACGCACTTCCGTGGACCCCGAGAGGAAGAGTGAGGAATAGAGCAGAGGGCAGCGTCGAAGACAGTGTCATGAAAAAGGAGGAGAGAGCAAGGGAGAGGCAGAAGGGAGAGGTCAGAGAGAGCAGCACTGAAGGTAAATAGGTTCTAGTCTGCCTTAGCAAACTGCCACCTAGGGAAGGAAAGGGGAGGGTGAAAAGAGAAAAAGGTAACAAGGATGGGGAAATGGTCACTGCCATGGAGGTATTCAAGAACCTGCCACATGAAATCTAAGTAAAGAGAAGACGAGCAAAGAGAAAGATCAAGACAGGAAAGGGTGCGAGTCCGAGAGTCCAAATGTGTGGGCTCACTAGAATTCAGAAGAGAAAGGGAAGAAGAGAGGATAAACGGCTCAAGAAGGCGACCCCGGGTGTTTGTCAGAATATCACCCCAAAGGGAATGACAACAATTGAAATCACCCAGCAGGAGCACAGGCTCCGGTAAGGAGTCCAGTAGGTGTTTCAGATCAGGAAGAGAAAGCGGGACACTCGGGGGAAGATAAATGGAACAAATGGTGTACCATTTCCTCACAAAGATACGAGCAGCAGAACATTGGAGAGGCGAAGGAAAAAGTAAGGGGACAAAGGGAACATCAGAACGAATCAAGAGAGCAAGAGAGTTAGGAGCCCCAGCAACCAGCTGGGGGGGGGGGGAGAAAGGAATAGCCATGAAAGCGACTAGGAAGAGCACCAAACATCGGCTCCTGGAGACAGACACAAAGGGGTGAAAACTGCGAAATCATTAGTTGGAGTTCAAGGAAATTGGCATAATAACCCCAAACGTTCCATTGAAGAATAGACATCGACGAGAAAAGAAAGGACAACAACAGAGAACAAGGAAGAAACAAAGGCGAAAGAGGAACATAGCACGTTAAAGAAGATCAGGGTCAGCAAAGTCAGGGTTAGGGGGCATGGATAAACTGATCAAAGACTGAGGGAAGGAAGCGAGAGAACAGACCAGAGGTGGACGGGCGGGCTCTGGAGGAGGAGGAGACAACCGAGTGGAGCAGTCAAGGACAGCAGCAGGAAGAGGAGTAGAAAGAGGGGAGAAACCTCCTCAGCAAGGGCAGCAACCGAGAGGGAAGCGGGGGCCAAAGAAACCTCCATAGCAGGAACAGGGGGCGCTACCACCGAAATGGGAGGGGAAGGAGCAAGAGAGTCAGAAGTAGGGGCCGAGGAAGAAAGCGAAGCCTTCTTACTCGCCAGGGAGGAGGAAGGAGAGGAGCCAGGCTCATGCTTCTGACTTAAAGAGACAGGTGTCCCAGCAACTACGTACTGGGCAACAGATTCCAGCGTCTCAACAGGAGAAGCTGAATGAGAGCACACACGACGGCCGTTGGGAGAGCGATGGACATCAGCCCGCACCGACAGGCGGCGAGGAGAGCCAATAGACGGAGGAGAAGGATGGGAAGGAGGATTGGAGGAAGACGAGGAAGAAGACACAGGAGACATGACAGACCGGGCAGAAAGAAGAGGAACCCCAGACAGAAGACCAGGAGGGGGACCCTTTGGGACAGAACTCAAAGGAACAGAGGAGGGGGCAGTGGGCGTATCAGGGTCCAAGGCCCGGAAACGGTTGCGAGTCTGAGGAAGATGGGAAGGACGAAGAGAGGAAGAGAGCAAGACACAAGCATAAGAGACGTTAGCATAAGGCGGGAGTCGGCGAACATGGCGCCTCGCCTCAGGAAAAGATAAACGCTTCCGGTGCTTCAAGTTGAGGACGACTGCCTCAAGCTTGTAATGTATACATGTACGGGAGAAGGCAGGGTGGGCCTCACCGCAATTGAGGCAGCGAGCTTGGGAAGAAGTGCACTCCGACTTAGAGTGACCTTCGCCCCCACACAAAGGACAGAAAGAGACAGTTCCAGAGCAGCGGGGGGCACCATGCCCAAACCTCCAGCACTTATTACAGAGCCGAGGAGAGGGAATGTCCTCCTGGACAGAGCACCTGGCACCAGCAAGAATGACAGAGGGCGGAAGGGTCTACCATCAAAAGTAATCTTCACAACCCGAAGGGGCTGACTGCGACGACCACGAGGGGAACGAGTAGACGTGTCTACCTGGAGGACAGAATGGCCCCGGGCCTCAAGGATATGCTGAATATCATCGTGACAGTCCTGCAGATTCTGAACACCGGTTGCAACATGGGGCGGAAGGAGAATAGTGCCAACACTGGCATTCAGCCGAGCGTTCTTAGAGACCCGAACAGGGGTTTCTCCAAGGCAGGATAAAGCAGCCAAGTGAGAGGCCGCATCCTGAGAAGGAACAGCAATGACACGTGTACCGAGACGAGTGGGATTGAAGGTAACAGAGGCATCTACGGAATCAACAAGGTGCCTATGAAGGGAGAAATTGTCAGGAGGCGCAGAATCAAGAGGGAGGAGATCAAAGTATTTGGCCCACGAAGCGGGACCAAACAAGGCTTGATAGGCATCAGAACGGGAAGGAATCGAGCGAGTGCGACCGTGTCGAGGACGGCGTTGAGAACCCCCAGAGAGAGGGGGGGTAAAAGGCGCAGTAGTCACAACTAGAGACTGAGCCGCGCCAGGAGATGAGGTAGTCACCACTGGGGACTTGGGGCTTGACCCAACCACAAAGGAGGGAGAGGAGCCGAGGGGAGTAGTCAGAGAGGCCAAAAGAGGAGCAAGGTCGGGGCCCAATGCAGCGGAGGCTACAGAGCCCGGTCTTCCAACACGGACCGGCTTAGGGGCTTGGTCGCCCACCCCACGAGCCTGAGTAGGTAAAGGAGAAACAGAATTCGACACGAGTACGAAAGAAAAAAATTCATTCACGAATGTGCCCCCCCACACCCACCATGGAGCCACAATTAGAAGCAGGACACCCAACAAGAAGCTATCGCCGATCATGTCGAGGCCCCCTAGGGGTGTGTCGTGAGTATATGCCCCACAAACGCCACCTTAAGAACCATCAGTCTGTCGAGATCGGGTTCAGTGACGAAAGGAGGATTGACAATGAAAGGTTCCCCTCGCTCTCAATGTTGGGTACTACAATTTTACGGGTGCAAGAGTATGCCTCCTTAAGCACCCGGGCGTCAAAATAGAAGAAGTCCAAAGGAATAAACAAAACAAGCAAAAGGTCGGCAGGAAGTAGGAGATAGGAGGGGGGAGATAGGAGAAGAGGGGGGGAGAAAAACGAAACAGAAGGAAAAGGAAAAGTCGTTCAGCACAATTAAAGAGGACAGCAGCAGGAGCACAAGGCTACAAAAGGACAGAGGACTACCCCAAGGAGCATCACACTCCGGCAGCCGCCCACTAAGCCCCCCTCACGGCATCAACGAGCTAAACAAGGAGGGGGTGGAGGCAGTAAGACTGGCCACTGGAAGAATATATGGAAAGTGAGGCACACTCTTCAAACTCTCGCCCAGTGAGGGGGGGGGCAGAATCATAGTGATAGTCCATAAACTCTCTGAAAACTTCAAAGGGTTTATTGGCTCCTGAAGGCTAGACGAAGCAGGAACACAGGCACAGATGCCAGTCGTTGACAATTACAAACACTGCAAACAGCCTAGGGGGCAAAGTCTGCAGTTAAAGGTGTGAGCTCCATGCTGTATAATGAGCATACAAACAACCTGTGCAATCCCATTCTATAACTCAACCCATCCTACAACTAGTACACCTGTATCACAACTTGCATTGACCAATTTTGGGGACCAGCTCCTGAACGTGTCACGAGTCTCTGGGTTGTTTTGCCACTGTCCACACAATGGTTATGGGTTGGCCATTAAATAAGATCAAGTACTGCATCCAACTAGAGCAGGTTTCAGTACTGGACACAGTAACCTGACTCTGATTAACAAACACTGCGTTACTCTCTTGTTACTTGCCCGAAACGCTGTGCGTATTAGTGGCTTTAGGCATAACATGTACTAGCTCTATCTATAAATCCATTATGTTTGTAACTCATCTTTTATGTATGTACGTTTACCTGAATAAACTTTTGATTTGAGTTGATTTGATGTGTGCTCTCTGTGTTTGTGTACTCGCCTAATTGTTCTTGCGAGAGATAAGCTCTGGCTTTGAAGCCCACCTCTTGACCTTTAACTGATCAGCATATAAGCTTCAGAGCCTATGTGACTGTCATATCTACATTTAGAGCTGTGAATGGAGTTTCTCTCCACCACTTCGCTTCTTGGCACATTCCATTTCTTCAGCATTCTGAAACTGAACAAATTGTTTCTAATGTCTCTGTGGCTCATTGTCAGTCCTTGTCTGCTCTACTCTGTTTCCCTGAGCATTTTGTATGTGGTTATAATGTCTAGCCTTATTATGAATAAGGGTAGAACCCTTATGTGTTTCTTATCTCTTTTAGAGACATAAGATTTATCTCCTTAGGTCTTTCCTTGTAACTTACAAGAAGGGCATATTACAGAATTCATCTCGATATGAATAGTATACAAGATCTTGAAACACTTTCTTCAAATACTAAAGGCAGTTCTATTAGCCGCTGTTCTGTATAACTTTGTATGCATTTATCTGATATGTGCTTCTGGTGATAAGTTCGGTGAAATACCTGCCCTCGAGTCTTGAATCACTGGCAGATTCAAGGAAAGTTTCCTCTCCAATGTGTCTGGCCTTCCATACCCAGTATCCAGCTTCATTACTCTGCACTTGCTTCACTTGAACTCTAGTAGCCACTTGAGATACCATACTTTCATTTTGTCCAGGTCCTCCTGTAGTTTTTTGCAGTCTTTCATTATATTTCTTTCTCACAATTTTTTGCATCATCAGCATATACTGAGAGGAAGAAATTCATCCCTTCTGGTGGCAATGGTGCATTTTGTGTTTACCTACTTCAGTGTTTTGTTTCCATTGTCGTGGCTAGGATGCCTGTTAAGCTTATTGAGGAAAGGCCATTACTGACCTTCCCTAAGATGTATACCTACCTACCTGTTGTGGCCCATAACAATTGTCTAACTCCCAGTACCTGTTTACTGCTAGGTGAACAGACATATCAGGGGAAAGGAATCTTTACCCAAATACTTCTTCCTGCCAGAGGCTGTGACTGTCTGCAAGCTTCAACCTGGAGTCATTAATTTAACGTAGCTAGTTGCATGCAGATTCATATTTAGATCCTCCCCCCCCCCTCCCCTCTGTCAGTCTGCTCTTTGTTTCTGTTTCTTATTACATCTGTTTTTCAAGACACGCAGCTTCAAGGTGACATTTCACATAACCTGCCCAAAGTACAGTACTGTGTGTATTAGTGACTTTGCCAGAATGTGAGAACACCAACACACTCACAACCCCATGTACCTTCTTGTATATAATAAATAAATAAATAACATGTGAGATGAATAATAGCTAGCAACTTTCAACAAGAATGTTAGCAAGAAGTTTTCCCATTAGTGTTGGCTAGCAGTAGCCGATATAAATAGTAACCAAAATATTTTGAGAGTGGTTGTTATTACCAATACAACAGCAGTATACTGATGCCTTGCCATACCACTCAATTGCATACAATATAATTTTATAAAACATGTTTAAAAATATTTTAAGACTGAAAAAGTCAACAAGGTTTTTCTCCAGAATGAGAGGTCATGTGCGTTATTAAATATGACTTTCGAGGAAAGTCTTGTGTGCACTTTGAACACCGATATGGATTTGGACGCGTGTGAACTTTCATGTGGGTTATTAGACGTGATTTTTGTGAAAAGGCCTTTAAACACACTGAGCACTGATGTGGTTTATCTCCTGTATGAATTGTCATGTGTGTTGATAAATATGATTTTTGTGAAAATGTTTTTAAACACTCTGAGCACTGATAGGGTTTCTCACCTGTATGAACTTTCATATGTTTTACTAAATGTGATTTTTGAGAAAAGCCTTTTAGACACTCCAAGCACTGATATGGTTTCTTTCCTGTATGAATTCTCATATGTGCTGTTAGACTTGATTTTTGTGAAAAATCTTTTAAACACACAGAACACTGATATGGTCTCACTCCTGTGTGAACTCTCATATGTATTTCTAGATGTGATTTTTGTGTAAACACATTTTTACACTCTGAACACTGATATGGTTTTTCTCCTCTATGACCTCTTGCATGTGCTTCTAAGTGTGATTTTTGTGAAAATTCCTTTAGACACTCTGAGCACTGGTATGGTTTCTCTCCTGTATGAACTCTCTTATGCGTCATTAGATTTAATTTGTGTTTAAAGCCCTTCAAACATACTGAACACCAAAATGGTTTCTCTTCGGAATGAACTTTCATGTGTGTATCTAGGGCGGATTTTTGTTTAAAGTCCTTTAGACACTGTGAACAGTTATACGGCCTTACTTCTGTATGAATTGTCAAATGCTTTGTTAGATGGGATATTTGTGAAAAGGCTTTCGGACACTTGGAGCACTGATATGGTTTCTCCCCCGTATGAACTCTCATATGTATTGCTAGACTTGATTTTTTGCCAAAATCTTTTGGGCACTCTGAACATTTGTGTGGTTTCTCTCCTGACTGACTTTGCATAGTTCTTGCTTGATGTTCTATTTGTTTGAAGTAATTTAGAAGTTGAACATGAATATGGCTTCACTCTTCAATATAATTGCACACTTTTATAGTTTAACTTATTTGGATATTACATTATAAGGATACCTTATAAATCCATAAGACATTTTAGATACAGAAAAGAACTCATGCAAAGTCCTATGAAACTCATGTTTAATATGACATCATATATATTGTAACACTGGTGGATGGGAATTTTGTGCTAAATCACTTACTCAACACCAGTATGGCTTGTACGGCTTATAGGTCATGGGGCCTTTCTAAAGCAGGTTTTCCTTAATAATTTGAAATGCTTTGTACAATGATTTGTTCTCATGTCAGTTGCCTAATATCAGCTTGAACTTCAATGTCCATGTAATGTGTACACTTCTTGTGATGACCGGGTGACCGTCAATGTCCATGTAACGTGTACACTTCTTGTGATGACCGGGTGACCGTCAATGTCCATGTAACGTGTACACTTCTTGTGATGACCGGGTGACCGTCAATGTCCATGTAACGTGTACACTTCTTGTGATGACCGGGTGACCGTCAATGTCCATGTAACGTGTACACTTCTTGTGATGACCGGGTGACCGTCAATGTCCATGTAACGTGTACACTTCTTGTGATGACCGGGTGACCGTCAATGTCCATGTAACGTGTACACTTCTTGTGATGACCGGGTGACCGTCAATGTCCATGTAACGTGTACACTTCTTGTGATGACCGGGTGACCGTCAATGTCCATGTAACGTGTACACTTCTTGTGATGACCAGGTGACCGTCAATGTCCATGTATGGGACACCAGGAGTCCTCCAGACCCGCCAACTCCTGGCACCTCTCGACCAAGCCGGCGCCGGACACTGTCACCCTGGCCGAAGAACCAGCCACAAAACAGAAAAATCTATCAACCTCCCTGAGGCTGCAGGTGATAAGTGCACAGTGTGCTGTAACAATCTGGGTTATTGAATAGGAATGCCAGACAGCAGTATCAAGACCAAATGTTTCAAATCTTGTCACGTGCTCTGGCGGACTCCAGGTGGAACATGTGTCTGCCTACCGTCAACGTTGAGCCAGTAGACTATGCTTCATCTATGAGATCTGCACTTCACCTGTGAGTGCTATACTTCACCTGACTACAGCTGGCACACTACCAAGCAACTCCACTTCTGTTGTTTGTCCCCAAGAAGGAAAAAGCCCCATCCTCAACCTGTGTGTAACAAAGAAGAATTAACCTTATTGATATTAGAAGAGAAACTTTGTTTTTTAATTGCTCAACCAAACCTATTTTGAGTAAATGATAAAGTTTTAGTTAAAGGAAAAGAAATTACTTAACCTATCAACGGTATAGGTCAAGTAATAATTGTAATTAACACTTTCGCGCTATCTGGACGCGCCGGCGCGTTCGGTTTCGTCTAACGTAAACGCATAGTGGACATAAAGTTATGTCTACTTTTAAAATATTTGTATAAAATTCAATTTTTATCCGATTTACTTTGGGTTTGTTTCAAACTGCGCGCTATGAGGCTCTCTTTCTCACCACTAGGCTGCATGGTACAATAAGTTCATGAAAGGTGTGGATAACTTCGATCAAATGGTATTTTGTCCCAAACGGGTTGCAGGTGGGTGACTTTAGCCGTTTATACTGGTAATTCTTCCCCCATATCATGTATTATATGCATATGTCTGTTTAGGGAATTTTATTCCGATCAATATACTACCAAAAATAACTGTGTGCAACAAGTATAATCTTGACAAACATAACAAAAGTAAAAATATTTCGTGTGTGTTTGACGCTCATTGATATGTTCCATCATTGTTTTATATTTGTCGCTATTCTAACTTACGCTTTGTTGATATTTTTTACCTATGGGCACATAGAACATTCTATTGCGAACACATTGACATAAAAATGAATGACGTACATAGAAAATTAATGTCATGAGAGTGAAATAAGTATAAACTTTCAAAGCGCCGTGCGTCGTCCCGTCACCGATACCGGGTAACAATTTCACCACTTCCCACACTCTTGCGGGCGGGCTGCATCATTAATCTACGCTTATATTCATATTACCGTGTTGGGAATTTCATTGCGAGTCCATTGATACCAAAATTAACGCTGTAGAACAAGTGTGAAGGTGATTACAATCCCAAGAGTAAAAACATTTTGTTGCTGATGGGCGCTCACGGCGAGTCATCTACGTAGTTATTTATTTGGTGCTGGTATCCCTATATGTTTCGTGACTTATTTTACTAATGTTCTTCTAGAGAATTTTATTGCGAACACGTTGGTACCAAAATGAAATACGTAGCATGAGAACTAAGGTCAAAAGAGTAAAAAGAGTATACACATTTTTGTTTTTACACTTAAGCGATAAAAACGCAGCGCGCACATTCGGTTGGCTGAGTGACCTTTGCGGAGAGCGCGAAAGTGTTAAGAAGCAATAAGATGCTTATCTTAACATACTAAGAAGGTTAGGTGAGGTCGGTGTTTTCTATGAAGCTTTTCAAGGTAAACTAAAATATTCACAATCAATTAGTATGTCACATATGCACTTATTAAATAAGCCAATATTGACTATAAGCAAGTGCGAGAACGGGTTGTAGAAAGTTAGGTGAAGCTGTCTGCCATCCTAATTCTGTCACAGATATTCCATTTCCCAGACGTGGATGAGGCTAGTAGAACCCTCAGGCTGTGGATGTTTCACAATTAGCTAATCTCTGTATCTTCTTAGTGTCCCATTGACATGGCAGGTGTTGTACCATTTATTTATCATTGTGTACATTCATCGTTATGTGCACCGACTGACATACATGGAGTACGTATAAATCACTATTGTGTCACATTTATGCTAATAGCACTTGGTACAAATAACTGTATATAAATTCAATAGGGTTGCTGATTAATGTGTCACAGTGACACCAGGCATGCCCTAATTATATGTCCTAACCCCAGAAAAGACAGGATTTATTAGCATATTGTACCATACTGTACCAAAGGATGCACTTGGTGCACCATAACTGCTACAATTTATCCATCCTATGCTGACCCTCATATAGGGTGGGACTATTACCAATTGTACCATACTGTTAAGAGGTGCATGGTATACCAATTGTACCATATTGTCAAGAGGTACACGGTATAATTACAGAAATTAAGTATGTACCATATAATTACTAATAAGTACTATATTTTTGTATACACATCCACAAAGAGGGAGGAATTTATCAGCAGCTAAGATACTGTTGCATTATAATACAGCTGTGTCACACGTTTGACTGCAAAAGCTCCTGTGCTCACACCAGGGGTGGTGGTGGTTTTGATGGGTGAGAGGGCATCAATTCCAATGGAAGACAGTCACTCTTCAAAATACACTTACACATACACTTACAGAACAGTAATAACTTATCAACCTATTGTGAGTAATCATATAGTCAAAAAAAAAAAAAAAGAAAACAGCATTGAATGTAATGAAACCCCACTTTCTGGGTGAGTCCCAGAGGGTTCCCGGCACTATACTGGGCTGCTGTGTATGTATTAGACTGTGGCATCAGTGAATTCGAATAGAGTTCTAGCTACTGGGGCCCACAAGCCAGAACGGAAGGTGGATAGCCGGCGCGGGGTCTGGGGCTTCCCCTTCCCCCTCCAGGGGAGGGGGGGGAAGCTGTGCAGACAGGCAACACAGCGGTGGGTGTGACGTCATGCTTGTTTGCTTGTTTTCAGATTGGGGAATTCTGTTTCACAGTTCAGTTTTAGGTAGCACTTGTTTCACTAGTTGGGGTCTCTTTTTGGGACACCTGCCTTTGGGTGCCTAACTCAGTAGATGGCAGACAAAGAATGCTTCCAACCACACAGGGGTTTCTATAGGCCATTGCTCCTCATGCCTCTCTGAGGGGGCCAGGTTCTGGCTCGTGGTCCCCGGTAGGCTAGAACTTTATCCAAATTGACCGATGCCAGGGTCTAATACATAAATAGCTCTGGGAGCCAAAGAGGCTCTCCACAGACAAAATGGCTGGTACTATTACACTCATTTTATACAAATGTGATCAAGCCGCACAGTCTACACCAAGAAATGTGTAGCAGCCATATCATAAATCCTTCAACAGTTATACAAGTTATACCCAAGAATTCTACATACTACAAATAACATTTACAGGAATCCCACATACCACTAATAACATCTGAGACATATTCCCAGGGATTCCATGATATACTAATGACATCCGAGAGATACCAGGCAAGTTTTTCCATAAACCAATTTACGAACAACCCAGGGTAAAACAGTCAGATATACAGGAATATGAGGGTCCCAAAATCACAGCATCGGCAGTCAAACACCAGGTCGCGGCCACAAGCAACACTACGGACTTACTACAATCCACTGTCTCTCCAGAAGTCTACATCTCCACCATTATCAGCATCTTACAACTCAACCTGTCATGAGACCGTCGTACTATTCAAACATTAATCATTGTAACATAACAATATCAAATATACATCATAAATTACCATACTGTGTGTTTGTATCACCATAGTAACAAACACTGCAAACTTTTAAACTGTTAGATATGATTGTCTAAGTGGCAAAATAAAAAACTTGAGCAGATAAAATAAACTGCCACAGATTATTTAAACTACCTCATTGAAGAGAAGATCACTGTAGATAGACAACCACGCTCTTGCAAGACAACCACGCTCTTGCAAGACAACCACACTCTTGCAAGACAACCATGCTCTTGCAAGACAACCATACTCTTGCAAGACAACTATACTCTTGCAAGACAACCATACTTGCAAGACAACCATACTCTTGCAAGACAACCTATACTCTTGCAAGACAACTTGCAAGACAACCATACTCTTGCAAGACAACTATACTCTTGCAAGACAACTATACTCTTGCAAGACAACCAACGCTCTTGCAAGTCAACTATACTCTATACTCTTGCAAGACAACCATACTCTTGCAAGACAACTTGCAAGACAACCACGCTCTTGCAAGACAACCACACTCTTGCAAGACAACCATACTCTTGCAAGACAACTATACTCTTGCAAGACAACTATACTCTTGCAAGACAACCATACTCTTGCAAGACAACTATACTCTTGCAAGACAACCATACTCTTGCAAGACAACCACACTCTTGCAAGACAACTATACTCTTGCAAGACAACATACTCTTGCAAGACAACTATACTCTTGCAAGACAACCATACTCTTGCAAGACAACCATACTCTTGCAAGACAACTATACTCTTGCAAGACAACCATACTCTTGCAAGACAACTATACTCTTGCAAGACAACTATACTCTTGCAAGACAACTATACTCTTGCAAGACAACCATGCTCTTGCAAGACAACTATACTCTTGCAAGACAACCATACTCTTGCAAGACAACCATACTCTTGCAAGACAACTATACTCTTGCAAGACAACCATACTCTTGCAAGACAACCATACTCTTGCAAGACAACCATACTCTTGCAAGACAACTATACTCTTG